ATTAGTTCTTTCTTAACGTTTTTTCTTAGCGTTAAAGTAAGACCTTCACCTTTGGCGAATAAACCAACAATGAGATTATATTTTTTTCCTCCTTTGCGAATATGTGTTTTGTTTTTATTCAGATGAACACTTGATTTTATTAACATACTTTTATAGTTCCCTAAATCTGTCTCAGTATAGTTCATAGGTTTTTTTGAAAACATTAACTCCAAAACACCTGTGGTTAAGGGGTATGATATTTTATCTAAATAAACTGATTCTTCTTTAGCCTCAAACACTAACGCGCAGTCTCCGAGAGTAATTTTACCATTTTTATGTTGTATAGAGCCATAAAGTTTATCCGAGTTACTAGACTCTAACCATGTTCTTATGCGTTTGTTAATAAAGTCTTCCACGTCTATCGCATCAGGGTTTTGATCTTGTGTCGATGAGGTGGCTTCTGTATCTGTTTGCATAGATTCATTTACTAGGTTTTCTTTTGATTTAATTTTAGTTAATTTTATATCTGCTAGTTTTTGCAGAGGTTCAATTATAGGATTTAGGTTTTGCCTTATAACATGATCGGTTCTAGCATTATTTTGTTTAAGATCTTTAAATTTTTGTTTAATATTTTCTCTAGCCTGTATTAACTCTTTTAATAAAGTGTAACTTTCCTCTGCCATGTTTGATCGATAAATGAATAAATAGTTATACGAGTTGTACTCTATATAGTAACAAACGTATCGAAATTGAGTCTATACCGTCCGTTATCTCTCTCATCGTCTTTGCTAATAACTATAAAATTATATTTTTCACGATTCCAACAGGTTGTACAAAACTCGTTAAATTGATTATATGACATATCGGTAGCTACATGATCATTGTAAATATGTTTTAAGTTGGTCTGATCCATTTTGAACACCACAAGAAAATTTGCATTATCACGAAGAATTCTTTTATCTAAATATGAATAACTTTGTGCACAATATAATAAAACCAGCTTGTTATGTCTACCGCGAGCAAAATAAGCGCGTCTAACACCTTCACTTTCTGTTAAAACGTCATCAAAAATAAATGTGCTTTCAGGTAAAGCTTTCTCAGGAGGAATTACAGTATCGCTTTCGTTAAAAGTAAACATCTTCATACCATCAATACCCGATATAATATCCTTTAACATTTTATATTTTGGCTGATCTACAGTTTTCGAGTATAAATAAATGTTTTGAAACTTAATCCCATTAATGTTAGTAAGTAAAGACTATACACAGTTGGTTTTACCCCCTCCAGAAGGGGCTAAAATTAAAGCGCGTACGGAATTTGGTAATAAATACCCATTTTTAGACTTAGTATGATACATCTCCGGAGGATCCGCGTTTAAAACTGAAAGTTTAATAGTTTGTGGTGAAAAAATCATAACGGTATAAATATATCTGGTTAAAAACGTAATGGCTCATATGATGTCTACACGTCGAAAGAACAACACCAACAAAGGTGGTGGTATACTAAACACTGCTATAAATAATCTTCCATTTGAATTACATTTGCCCGGATATAAGTAATTGAAAAAAAATAAAAATAATAAAAATAATGATTAAAACTAATAAATATATATTTTTGTTTTTATTAGATTCGCAGGTCCTGGGACTAAATTAAAAGAAAGGCTTGCACGGGGTGATAGAGGTGTGAATAAATTAGATGAACTCTGTAGAGAACATGATATTGCATACAATAATAGTAACTCTCTGAATGATAGGCACAAGGCTGATAGATTATTAGAAGATAATGCTTGGGAGTTAGTTAAATCTAAAGACGTTGGACTTAAAGAAAAAGCCGCTTCTTGGCTAGTAACTACTGCTATAAAAGCTAAACGGAAGTTAGGCATGGGGATTCATTATAAAAAAGCTGTATCAGCAGCAAAAAAAGCTGTTAAAAAGAGTACAGAGAAAAACATGGTTAAATTGGCTAAAATCGCTATAGTAGCAGCTAAAAAGGTTGTGGTTAAAAATAAAAAAAATAAATCAGTACCTAGAATAATATCTATTCCTAAATCTGGAGGGTTTTTACCCATTTTACCTCTGATAGCTGGTTTAACTGCAGTTGGATCTTTAGCTTCCGGGGCGAGTAATATTGTTAAAACTATTAATGATTTAAGGGCTTCTAAAAATACAACTGTAAAGTTGGGAAAAGGATTGTTTTTAACTCCCTACGGGCAAGGAAAATATAAGATAGGAAAAGGATTATTTCTAGCACCTAAATCATCAGGGGCAGGAATAAAAAAACCTAAAAGTACTAAACGAGGAAGTAATTCAAAAAACTAATATCAGAGCTACCCAAACGTGCATTATTTGATTTTGAAATAATAAATTTGCACGTCTTTTAAAAATACCCCATTACAGGGGAACCTGTTGTAGAGATACGTTGCCTGTTCATACAAGAAGCCAAGAAGCTTTTGTTATTAATTTAGCTCTCTCGGTTAACGCAGGTTCCCACTGGGTTGCTCTTAGGAAGAAGTTTAACCGCGCTTATTACTATGATAGCTTTGGGTTAGAACCCCCGCTTGAAGTTCAGAAATATTTAAAAAGTTGTAAAATCATTTACAATTGTGAAAAACAGCAACGATGTAATACATATAACTGTGGACACTTGTGTTTAAAATTTTTATCGGAACCATGACAACTTTAACACTTAACAGTAATTCTTCTGAAATAACATGTGAATTTTTTCCTCCTATAGAAGTTGCTAATAGTTCAGAATTAGGTCTTTTAAGCCTTCAAACAAACAACTCTATACCAAACATCAAACCTGGATGTAACCGTATTGGAGTAGTACGTGATAACGCCCTTGATACAGTTACTAACATACAGTTAATAACCATACCTACAGGTTCTTATGAAATAGTGAGTCTAGAAGCAACCATTAAATCACTATTATCCGATATAGTTACATATTTTGAATTAAAAGCTAACACTGTTACTTTGAAATGTGAAATGAAGTGCAGCCATAAAATTGATTTTTCTATGGTCGACAGCATAGGTAGCTTATTAGGTTTTGATACTGGGATAATATATAAACCCGATGAGAAACATGAGTCTCAGTGTATTGTTAACATTACAAAAGTAAACTGTATAAGTGTAACCTAATAACATCTTCATTCGATAATGGGACTTCAAGCCATATTATTCATCAATTCTATCCTACAGTTGCTGCAGGTTATAAGATAATAGAAGTACCTCGACATCTCATTTACTATCCTCTTATCACCACATCTATATCAAATTTGCGTATATTGTTAACTGATCAGGACGGTGACTTGATCGATTTTAGAGGTGAACCAATCACAGTTCGACTACACATTAAACAGATTATATAAAAAAATGGGTTTGAAGTTTTCTAATATAAATAGGACGACAATCTCTAAACGATCTATTAAACAACAGAATCGCACCAAGACAACTACAAAACGTAAACACCTAAAGAAATCTAGAAATATTAACAGAAAAAAACTTAGCAAATCTAATTTGAAATTTTTACGGTCGTTAAACGCACTCTAATTATGGATGATATTTATCTTGACGTGTCATCTGGATGTGTAGATGAGTGTAAAATTATTGATAAAGAATTTCACTCGTTTTTACCATTCTCTACTTCTGCTCTACCAAACAACGATGAAATTCGTATAGCAGTTCAAAATTCAGATAGTTATACTCTTCCAAGTGAGAGTTATATTTATATTGAAGGTAAATTACAAAAGCCTTCTAACGCTACAGGATCGGTTCGTTTTATAAACAATGGGTTGGCATATCTGTTCTCCGAAGCACGTTATGAAATTAACGGTGTTGAAATTCAAAAAGTACGCAATCCAGGTATAACATCTACTCTTAAAGGGATGTGTTCGTATACTCAATCAAACGTGTATACTTTAACAGATAGCGCATTCGATGGCATGAAATTTGATAATGAAAAATTTGCACAAGAAGACCATTTTTCCGGAATTATCCCACTGAGTCATTTATTTGGTTTTTGTGAAGATTATAAAAAAATTATTATGAATTGTTCACATCAATTAATATTGAATAGAGCATCGACAGATTCGAACGCTTTACAGATTTTCGAAGAGGAAGCTGCTAAAAAAACAGCTCTTGCTGGAACAAAAATAATTCTTTCTAAAATTGTATGGAAAATGCCGTTAATTAAAGTTAACAATAAAGAAAAACTCGGTCTAATGAAAATATTAGATAGTCGAAAATCGATTGAGGTTCCATTTAGGACTTGGGAGCTATCTGAATATCCTACACTACCAACAAATGCACGTCACTCGTGGTCTGTACGTACATGTAACAAATTAGAAAAACCAAGATATATTGTTGTAGGATTTCAAACTAACCGTAAAAATACCTATACTTCATCCATGTCTGTTTTTGATCACTGCAAACTGTTTAATTTAAAAGTGTATTTAAATACACAAGTGTATCCATATGAAGATTTTCGTGCTGACTATTCTAAAGGATTATTTTCACTTTTCTATAAAGCATATACCGATTTTCAAAAATCTTACTATGACCGAGATAGCGTTGCTCCACTTCTTAATAAAGATAATTTTTTAAAGTTTATGCCTGTGGCAGTCATTGATCTTACACACCAGGATGATGACATTAAAGTTAGCACAACAGATTTAAGAATTGAATTTGAAGCTTTAGAAGCTTTTCCTGCAAATACCTCAGCGTACTGTATGATTCTACACGATCAAATTATTACTTATAACCCTTTTTCGGGTGATGTTCGAAAATTGTAACGTTTTTTTTAACTATATTTAATAATTTGTATTAATTTAATTGTTTTTAACCTTATATTGTATGAACTTATTTCATGTAACTATATGTAGTGTAATGTACCTTATATGTTAAGAGATTATTTTAAATAAAAAAAATAAAAAACATTTATATTTTAAAATTAATTTTTGTTGACTTTTTATTTGAAACGTAAATTACAATAAAACCATATTTAAACAGTATAGTATACACTTAAAATTCAAGTTTTCGAGGTGCCCATGTTGACTTCTCCGTGTGTTTATAGTTGTCGTATGCTTGTGTTGAAAAGGAGAAGCATTGTGATTCTTCTTCACCACGCCAATCGTATCGAGTTGGACCATCATTTACATCGATTGCCTTTAAAAAAAAATTTAAAATTAATTAATTAAATAATATGAAAATTTTTAAAATAAAAAAAATGTGTACAATACCTTAGGTATGTCATTTCGGTCAGTTATTTTCTTCATCCAGACGTCAGCCAATTCTTCAGCAGCAAATCTTTTAATTTCACTAATATAATTAGGATCACTCATCGGCTCTATTGCTGAAGTTATAGTAATACATGATACCTCCATGATACATCTTAACAACTCTGTTCTGTTTGTTTCCTTGGTTGGGAAGAAACAGCCTATGTAATATTTTATAATCATTTCGATTTGTTGATACACGTTTTCCGTTGTAATTGCCAAGTGTTTTTCAACACATTCATGAACAATATATTCTAGTTCAGCCAGTTTTCTTCAAATCTCTACGGTTAAGTAGAATGCGACATCCATTTACAGCTTGAGATTCAATAACCAGCACATTTTCATCCTTATAAACCATTTTAGTTAATGAAAGATTGGTGTCTGAGAGAAATGTAGTCTGTGTATTTTCAGGCTTCTCCATGACGCTTGATAGTATATCACCCATTAGTGTGTATATAGTTTTCATATAGTGACTTGTTATGCTCACATACCGCGACGGTGTAATGATATGAATCATTACACTAAATGATTTTTTCGGATCGATCCCAATTTGAATAAATTTCCGATCGTTGAAATCCAATGTATAACTGTTGCATCCAATCAGGTCATTTGGCGGAGCCGGTGGAATGTAGGTGTACTTCTGCTTCTTGTAGATTGGTGCGATCGATCCATCCATGATGTATGAATTAAAGTAATTTGTTTAAGTGTAAAAAAAAAAAACTAGACACTGGAAACTTTGATTCACTTTTAAACGTTGTACCGCAGAGCTCGAACACTAAACGATGAATGTTTTAGCACCATAGACCATCACTAGTGCAAACGAATCGTTAAATATACCATGTGGGGGGTTAGAAACATTAAAATTGTAGCATTTAGTTATTGGAAGGGAGATTTCTTTAAAATACTGTTAAAAATGCCTACTCTGATCTTAAACCTGTCGTTTCCTGTTGAGACATGTAGACACATCTGACGGTTAACTGTAGATGCTATATGTTTTTGCGTGTTCACGGTTTTTACCCTCTTGTAAGGGTGCATTATCGATATAATATTATATTAGAATTGGATAGTTTAAAAACCACCTGCTTTGACCTTAAACATATCGTATCATGTCGAGGCATGTAGACCCACATGACGGTAAACTGTAGATGTATATGTGATTTACGTGTTCATGTTTTTTTTGTCGTTGTATATAAGATACTTTGTCGGTAACCTTGGGTGTGTGGTCTGGAATAATCGTTTCTATAACACTATGGTTAGTAAGAATTGTAAAAAAAATCTGACCATAATATTTACATAATTTCACCTGTCTGTGAGCTTAAGGTGTGTATGCATGATTTCTATGTGTTATAAGGATAAAATATTGTACTTAATGGAAACTTGCCATTTTTACTTTTAAGGTTTGTATTAAATAAAATATTGTATTCTATGACATCAGTTAAACGGTGTTTTAAAACAAAATTTAAAAGTAATATAATATTTTATATGTAAGGTTAGGTTAGGTTAGGTTGAAAATCAAAAAATTAGCTGTTAAAAATAATAATATAAAAATTGATAAAAATAATGAAGATTTTTTTTCTTTAAATATAATACATTAAAATTTTTCCGATTGGGTTAGGTTAGGTTAGGTTAGGGTCAACGAGGCGGAGTTCATTGTTACACCGTCATCCATTCATCCCCGCGGCGGCCATTCTCCGGGCGGCGGCCGAGACACCTACAAGACGGGGTACAGGACAGCTGTGAATTATCCGATCGCCACCTGCGTAATCCTCCGGCTAATCACCAATCCTCAATCCTCCCATTGTTCCAGTACATACATTCCCCTTCTATTGGACACTAGTGGCAGTCCCCAATGAAATAGGAAATATATATTTCCGTTCATCTTCAAAACCACCATTTAACGCAGTACTGGACATACTTGACGAAACACGTAAACATTTTTTACCACTATAAATGAGAAAATATTCATAACATTATTGACTCACATTTATTAAATTAAAATTTTTTCCCAGAAGAAGATTAAATAAATAAATCATACATTTTTTTCTTTTTCATTATACCTTTAATATTATAAATTCAATATGCATTTGTTTTTCTTCTCTGTTCTATCTCTCCTTTTAAATTAAGACGACTGACTTAAAATAGACGCAAGTGTTTTTTCTTTAAAAGATCTAAGTAATAGATCAATTTAATCTTCAAAGCTGCTGCTTTGAGATCGTCGCTGGACCAGAATCTAGGTACGTGGAGATATACTTTATAACAATACATATTATAGTAATTGTATAATTTAAAAAAAGTTACGGTAGTATAAGACACATCCATCAACTTTCATAACCCCCTTGACCTTTCCTTTAAAATTATATTATTATAGTATGCACACAATAATACTGGCACTATTTACATCATTGCATTTTATTTATATCTTTAAAACATGTAAAAAAAATATAAATAAAATAATATAGGTACATTTAACACTATTTTATATTATTGCTGAAAATGTTATGTTCATTAAACAATAATCACTAATAAAAAACAGATTAAGCATTAGCTTTTTACCTATACTATGTGTATACTTACAAACATTTATTCATGTCTCTATGACCATATTAGAAATTGTTAATCTTAGCTACTAACAAAAATATATAAATTACGCATACATTTATTAGGTATACCTTTTAAACATTATACCTAATGATAATAACAACTGATAATATTTCGTATTTGCACTCATAACACAGGAATATTAACCATCTATGTACTCATTATTACTCATTGTTTATATTTATATTCATCATTTATAAGCTTGTCTAAAATTCTAAATTATTAAACGGGGAAATCTGTTTTTGAATGTATATATAACCTAAAAAAAAATTGTAACCAATGGCTCCAGCAGCCGAAGTTAAAAAATACATATATAAGTTTGTATTTAATTATGGATATTATTTCAAAAAATTATTATCCGGACACATTTATAAACCTTTTTAATTGTATGACGTATGTACTCTTTTCTATTACTTATTGTAAATTATATCGATTGTCAATTTAAACTACTTCTCCCTAATACCATATTTTTATTATATAATATGTTCTCTCTTTTAATAATATGTTCATTCCCACATATTTACACACTGTACATGTTTATCATTGTCTTATATCTTACTAGTTATGTTATGTATTATACCTTGTATTGTTAAAAAACCATAACTTTAATCTTTTGGAATCTTCCCGAAAATATTCATTTGCAATGGACGACGGTGTTAAAGACTAGAGTATTGCAATCCAATAGCGATCTATAACTTGAAAAATTTGGCGATCCGGAACTTTCAACGACTGGATTGAAACTTGTATGGCGCCTTAACGTCATCTTCGGACAAATATGAAGTAGGAGAATAACAACAAGAGACTCAAACGGATAGCGAAGCATCGGATGGTAATAAACATCAGAAACAATAACTTTAATTTGTTTGTATGTTTTATTCTTGTTATTTATTAGTTTGTTTTTTTTTTTAGTAGAAACACGTGCTGCACCAAATCCCGGTCAAACGAGAGGCCTGATCTGTGTTTATGGGAGTGATCATATTTTGATGCGTGGTCTTTATAAGAAACTGAGACATTGTCATTGAGTACCTATAAAGTTGTGGAAGAACGAGGCCATATAGGTGATAATATAAGAATTAGACGTAGACTTTGGGTTTACAAGAAAAATGATTCTACATGTCACAAGACTCAAGAGAATTTGTTGCAGTTGTGTTCATGATACCGATTTGGACACACTCGTTCGTTTCATTCGACCAAGCCTGGTATGTCTTTCCGCTCACGCACTTCTGGACACACATCATTCACCACGACGCTTATCATACTTGACATGTTTTAAGTAAACATGGAGTACAAGTGTACGACATACATGCATTTCATACAGATTTTCTTCAAATCTCAACTACCATGGGTTTTCAAAAATAAATTTACACCATTCAACGCAACGATTGTGGCTGTGGGCCATGGATTCTGGAAATTGCAAAACACACAGCCACAGCTAAAACACCAAACACTATTGCAGTTACTTCTACGACAAAAATAGTATGTTATCATTGTGTGTATCATTATACAACACACGATCCGATCACATGCCATACTTCGGATTAAAAATTAATAGACTGGAATGTGCAAGTATTGGCTGAAGTGTTGGCAGACAAGTTAAGCTACTCAAGTGGGAGTATCCGCAAGTTGGGTAAATAATGTAAATAATAGACCGTTCGACACAAATTGGGAACATGTAGCTGTGTTGTGAACGGACGAGAGAGAATAATGAAGAAAATAGAATATCCGAGCATATATTATACGCCATGCCAAGTCCAAAATACGTACCATGCACGCAAACTAAACCACCAATCGTCGACGAAGAGTTAGCAGCCATATAAAATAAATCGCTTCAGTATTTTAACAATGATTTACTTTTATAATATTAATAGTATTGAATTTTGACTTTTATATACGAGATGAATAATTTTTTTTTAAAAACTTATTGTAAAAAACGAATTTTTAAATTACCTATTGGTTTATACTTGTATAATACTTTGTTAACTAATACAAATGTAATATGAGTGCAAAGATGTCTTACTTAATTGTAATATATATATTTGTATTGTTAATAATAGTCGCTCTTCAGTCGATATTGGTTTAAAAAAAATTGTTGTAGTTCGTGCAATGTCCGATCTAATTTCATTTAGTATGTAATCAAATGTTTTAATATTAATTTTTGTATATTAAAAAAAATGTTTTGGATGTATTCTAAGTTGGTTAGGTATATAAAGTGTGAAATTCACCATATTAACGTCTATCTAATCACAAAGTTAATTAAATGTTCTATAATTTCATACGCAATGTTTAATTATTATTTACCTATGTATTGTAATAGAGTAATATTTCATATAAAAACAAATTGTACGTACTGAATCATATGTTTGAACACAATATATTAATGTCATGTACCAATTATAATATCGCACAGAATTATTAAATACTTGTTATAGAGCATATAAATTCACACACATGTGAAAAAATATAAATGTTATTTTAAATAAAGAACAATACACAAATACACTGAGTGGGCGTTCCAGATGAAGATTCATCTACACGGGGGCATATTATAATAATAATTATCATAATAATATTATATATTATAATATTAATAGTGGGGGATTCCCCACTATTAATAACTGGAGTGACGCACGATCTTGCCCTATAAAAGCCAAAGCAACAGGCCTACCGCTGTCCAGTCTTTAGCCATGGTTATCTGCTACTCTCCAATCATTCAGCTGGCGGGCGAAGTGTGGTTAATGGTTCTCATGTAATGTCTGCAGCTCAACTCAGTGTATTAGAGTAAAAAATTATTAAATGCGTTCATTCATAATTTCATTAGATCATTTATTTATTTTATTTTAATTGAATTAACTTTAATAGTCCAGTTATATAGCTATCCTGGCTCACTAAATTTCTTGAGAAGCAAATGCTAGCAGCCCCCAAGAATCCAATTTCATTGATTGCTAATGAGTTGGGTGTTTTCGATAAGAATTGGATAGTTTAAATAATTAATAGTCATTATAAAGAGTTTAGTAAAGGAAGGCCTAACTGTGTAGTCGTCTTTGAGCAGGGTAGTATACTAGTCTTTATTAAGATAAGTAGCCTTGGAATAGGATAACCAGATAGATCCAACTTCCAAATGTGTTTTGTGTAGTTGTCAAGCAGCCTGAGAGGAGATAACCAAAACTAAAGGTGTAATATACAAACGTTAGTTTGATCAGTGTAAAATACAATCATACACTGAGTCAACCACAGATATATTGTACGTAAATATACGTGTTAGAAAAACATATCGGTATCTCATAGATGACAACTAGTGTAAAAGATGTAATAAATATCGTCTTCGTCTTGCCAAGTCGAACCAACATATCAATCATCAGGAGGAACCCCTTTTTACACCGTCACTGGACCAGATCAAGGTATGTGAGAATCTTGTATAATAATAACACTATAGTAATAATAAGCTTTAAAAGAAGTAGGATATTCTAATAGCATACCCTTGTATACATTCCACCACCTCGTATTATAAGCATCATTCCCTCTTAGAAAATAATTATATCATATTAAATTCCCCCTCTTATCCATTATTATTACAGTATTATGTAGTTATGCTAAAATTAGTATGATTATGAACTGTCAACAAAAAAATCTATCTACAATTAAATATCTCTAAGTCTCCTTTATATATTTGCTATATCGCCTGAGGAGCTTAACAGGCGATTGCACCTATAAATAACTTTACTTTCAAGTATGCAGCGAAAAGGAAACAGGTTTATTAAATAAGTAAATGTATATATGTATTAAACCTCTATGTAGATCCTGGCTGAGATAGCCAAGAGTTTGTTTGAAGTTTGTTGAAGTGTGTATTCGGCTGATTGTATTGTTTAGAATTTGCACTACAATGAATCTTTCTCGTTGTCTGATGATTTCAGTATTTGCTGTAATATTAGCATAGATAATTGGCATCATGGTGTAGTTAGGTTAGGTAGGTTGTATGTTGCACTGTAACAAGGGCTATCAGTCAATTACATTTTTAGCACTTGAATGTAGTATGTAAAAGTACCATGTAGGTATGCGACTCTACAACAATATTATGGTTATAAAACTAGATAAAAACATATTTTATATAAACAAATGCTTAAAGTTGTATATTTTGTATTAGAGCAGATACGATTATCATTTATCGTCTAGTCAGCGACTTAGAAAATATCTGATTAAAAGCAAATTCAACATGACGTGAAACATAAAAAAGGGCATTCGCATAGGGCAAACCCAAGCTCTCCTATTATTCAAATTACAACAATTTAAACACCATGTGATTGAATCACGATCACAAAGCTAATGCTTACTACTACTCTTAAGTATAATGCTTAATTTTGATTTTTTTATATTTCTACCTATTACAATAGGTATACGTATAAAAGTAACATTTAAAACAATTGTGTCAACAAATATTACACTGACTTTCGGCAAAAAATGAAATTAATTTAAAGCCCAGATGTGGCATTATATGATTTTAATGTACCTTTGATACGTTAAAATCGCCGCCTTGCTTTTGTGTTGTATAGATTTCAGTTTGTGTATATGTAGAAAAATGCTTAAATCAACTTGCATATTGTTTTAACTTATTAAAAAGGTATATGAAAACGTTATATACGTATACATTTTAGCATTTACTAAATCTAGCCACAGTTGAATAGTTTTTGATTCAGATTTTAGGAACTTAACACAGTAAATAGCGGTACAAAGTTAAATAAACAGGAGGAACGTCTTAACATTCAGGACGTATTGCTTGAAAATGAAATACATACTGCTTGGATAATGATAATACTGCTAAACGCGGCTAAAGGTACGTACGGGTACGATAAAGGATTAGATTAATTGGTTTAAATACGCTAAAAAGTATGACAGAGGAAAATTCGATTGTTTACCCAAGTTGGACGAAATACAATTATGCACTGAACTTGACGAGAATATAGTAAAATGGATTAACGATGCTTGCACACACATCAAATTTAAAATAACGTAAATAATGTTAGCTTTTATGCATTTAGTAACCCCAAATACTACTCAATAACAGCGTACACGCTAGCATTGATAGTGCATGTTCAAAGTGGGAGCAAAAAATGTTGAAAGGAAGAATTAACACCAATTACTTTAATAGATTACAATTTTCGGGCTTCACGTTGGTATTTTATTTGTATACAACCAAAATGAAGCAGTATCGACGAGATGGATAATGATGAAGAAAAAAATAGCCAAATGCAGACACTTTAAAAAAGTTTATAGCTATTTAAAAAAAAACAATGCCGGAAGAATGCGAAATTACAGATGGTCACTGAGACATACACAAGTAGTAGATAGTATAATGAATTTAGAAGAAAATGCGGTGGTGGAAATGCTCAAAGAAACCTGTAAACGTCAGGCATGGACAGTAATACATGTTGAAGACTACGATTTGGTCCGGTTCTACTTAAACAACGTGATAGAACAAGCAAATTATGAACACTCTTGCTACAAGTTTTGGAGGCTTAGTTAATAGCAATGAAATTGTAGGGCTGCTGTCAGCCAAAATGGAAACGATTAAAAATCCAAAGACATCGTTAGGCATGACTATTCGTTCACTTCAATATGTCTACATGTATTTTATGCAAATGTTAAAACAATATTTACGGGTATGTTGGACGTTTCTGTATCATTTGAAATCGTCGTTGAGCCATTTGGCGGCATTCAAGCATGTAACTAAATTTAAAGTTTATATAGAGAAATTTGCGGATTTCCTTGAATTAAGCAGTGCGGACAAGTTTAGGAAACTGATAAAACAATTCAATAAATGGTCTACAAACCATTCGTTGTTTTTGAATAACCAATGTCTACGATTATTGATTTACTGAAACAAAATGACGAATATGAACTCATCGGGAAAATGGGTAACGACAACATCGAATCGTTGAAAAATACTGATATTAATCGTCTGAACTCGTGGACTCTGAAAATGACAGTGGTTATGAACCGAGAGCTACTAAACCAAAAACAAGTAAGGAAATTATAAAGCAAGATACGGGATAGTATTCTTTGTGCTAAAAGTTTTGTAGACTATTTAAAAAACATATTAATCGATGTAAATTTTAAAGTTATTCAAATATTTTCTCTCGAGTCATCTGCCACGGACATGTACTATGACTTACTGTACTAAATGACTTAGGTTAACGCAAAGTTTTTTAAAACTTTTTAAATCGAAGTGTATATATTTTTTTGTTTAATTAACAATAACGGGTTTTATTCTTTTAGCTTTGATTAACACATTTTTTAATTTATTAATCTGAATACAGAATCAAAAAGTAATATTTTCTGTAGAACTTTTACAGGGATATAGCATCACATTCATGGTCCCAATTCGTAATCGGCGATAATAAATTTATAATAGGAATAACATTAGGGATCGTAGATTGTGGATAATTTATTATTTTAACTCTTAAATCTATTAAACAGATGATGATTTTAGACTAGCATATTAATATAATATATAATACACTGTACTATGTGATACACCAAATATATCTAGATATTAACAAAAATATATATTTAGGTTAGCTGTCAGAGGCTTACCATCTAACAACCTCTTGACTAGCGGCATCACAATATTAAAACGTTTGAATGTGATGTTTTTCTCTATGAGTTTAAAATTTTGATTTTTTCTCCTCTAAATAACGTTTGTTTGTAATAAATATTTGAGTTTAATATTTCTTCTTTGTTGGTATGGTATGGAAATAATTTAAAAATTGTAATATAATGATTACCAGCTATGATGTGAGCAAATACGTAAATATATTTATGTTATTAATACAAATTTGAATTATAATTATGCGAATAAAAATGTTTTTCAAATTCTTTGAGTTGATGATTTTCTTTAAGATGGGGAGTAAACATCATGTAAGCATTATGGCCAATAAATGTCAACGACGATGGGAATTTCATATTCCTTTAAATATAGTCAAGAACAAGAAGTTTTCTTAGCCGTTCAGCATATTCACCAAAAAAATCTCCTTGGAAAAAACTGTTAATAACCCCGAACATAATAAGGGAATTACAATCTCTAATATTAAATATCACTCTAGCTCTACCGCCAATAAAATTATATCTATTAGAATCACCTAATCGACTAATCAAAATATAATAAATGTAACACTTACTATTATTATTATAAGTATAACATTTCGTTTTTCTTTCTGTTAAAACGAATAAAAGTTACGCTGAAATAACAATTATTGTGTCAACCTAAAACGTACAGACAACGAATATTTTTAGGCAAACAAACGATATTATTTTAAACACAGATGTAGCAATATATTTTTCCGACCGAATAAACCACAGTTTAATAAATTTATTTTTTTAAATGACATCACCGCATTGGGTTTTGTACATTGTAACGTTTTGTATAATTTTGTATCTACTGAATCAGTACTGCTACAGTGGACTAGTTGAGTCAATACAGAAATGAGATACTTACAGTAAACATAATACTATTTATAAATATAAATATTTTGAAGTGTTGTATAACTTCATTTTAATTTTTTCAACATATATCTCTATTTAATGCTACTGTAGTGTTCTTAAAAATTGACGCATTTTAGCTATTGAGAGGTGAACAATTGTAATCAATCCTACGCTTATAAGCTTTCGAAAAATTTCAATTTCGCTGACAGCTTTTGTGAAGACAATTGAAACAGTGTTGCCACTAAATTACATCAAAATATATTAATATATGACTATAAAGTTAGGACGGGAAGGGAAGTTCGGTTGAGTAATACGCTCAGTTAAAAATATTTCTACTCCACACCCTTCCTCAGGCTCAACATTTTAAACTTTAATAATTAAGAAAATAATTATGAAAAACTAGTTTTCAACTAGTCAAAATGATCAGCAAATTATTCTTTATATAAAAAGTTAATTAAATATTTACGTTACTACTTGAATAAACTTAAGTTCATCCAGTTGTAACATTTGTAGTTATACCCTTCTACGCTCAATAGCCATTATAATTGCATATCCTTTCACTTACGTTATCGAGCATCGTTATTTTAAGTTGGAAAATTTGTAATTTTTTTGGTTGTTTTTCTCGATTTTGACGAGGAAGGGGTGACTAAAATTTTGGCCCATTAATGTACCTTCCAGGTATGATTTCTGATCTATAGAGTTGCTACACGAAGAAATCGGTTCAGCGAATTACAAGATATCGTGGGTCCAGACACAAAAAAAATAAATAAAAACACAACATTGTAAAACCAATACCTTCTCAGCTCCGCATCGAAGCTATAAGAACCAAACTCGAGGAAAGTCATTTTTAGATTCCATAAATACTAAATTTTTACACGAAAAATGTATAATAATTCCTATAAACACCTGTGACCTCCTCGACGCAATATGTTCCGTTCTTGTAATGCCCGACCCCAATGGCTTTTTAAAATTAATGGACATCAGATTTTTTTGGTAAAAAAAAAACGACTCATTAAGAACTCTTATAGAACTCCACATAGCGTGCTTTGAGTTAGATTCTATAAACACGAAACCTCAACAATTTATGCAAGATTGTGATTTTATTACTCTGAAAAGAATCGGTTTAGGTGCATTTGCTACACTGACCTGATCTCCAGCGTTATATTTATACTCTTTAAAATGTTAGTTATTATTTTTTATTTATTTCAAAATTCTTCATAGAAATGCCAAAAGGTTCCTCTCTATCTTTCACAATGTTGTGTCTGTTAAGTGTGTCCATAGGACAAATTAGCTATAAGAATAGTTAGACTTTCACTATGCTTTGAAGATATTGGTCTTAACATCTACATCAAGTCATCCTAATTTATCTAGGGAGCACAGAGCATTTCATAACGTGGATACATTTTAACTAATCCTTTTAAATTAAAAAAAGCATTTGCTAAAAATGCTAAAACTTCTATCTAGAAACTAAAAAATACGTTTTATCTTAAAATTGTTATCAATAAATTTGTAACTAAGTAATTATTGTTATTTTTATTAATACATCCATTATATAGTTTTAAATTATTTGTGATTTGAAAGATCAGTTAGTTTAGTATTGTAGTTTTCAATTCACTTTCGAAAAACAAATATTTGTAATAGGTCATTTGGTTTTTTTGGTATATTGATCCACGGTTGTCCTTTTTCGTCTTTATATTCACTTAAATGTTTCTTCACTACACATTCCATTCCCAACTCCCGAGCAATTAATGAACTAAAATAGTTTGTGCAATCTATCCTGATAATTGATATACTATCATTATTTAAGGCCGCCAAAAATGCACACTTAGCCAAAGCTTTGGATATTCCATAACCACGGTATTTTTGTAATGTAGCCAATGTTCTGATCTCCAGTATTTTATTTACGTTGAAAATTTTAAACAGGCATGGTTCAGTTTCAATTGAAACTCCCAATCGAAGAGTTCTATACAAGTTTGTATTAGATTTGTATTTTAAATCTAAAAGTATGTAAAAATGATTGTTAAACATACACAAAAAAAATTTCATAAACAATTTAACGCCGTTATGCAAAATTTCTCTCAATTATTTTTCTTAGTTTTTGTTAATTTAAAAAACAGAAACCATTCAGATGAACGTATTCTGCAATACTACTAAATAATTTTCTAGACGGTTTCTAGATGATCGCTTTTTGCATAACGCTGTTCAGCTATAGTTTAATTATATCAGTGAATGCTCATTTTGTTAAATGTCCTGATTATAATAATTTTCATTATTTGAATTAAGTAACAATAATTGGTTCATGTATTAAAAATGATAACCTGCTTCTTCTCGATGGACTACTGAATAGTCTGATTTTATAATTTCATTTGTTGCCAAAGAAGCTACTGTATTGTTACTCGTATCTATTGCTACAAATGTCATATCGTTTTTTATAAATTTATCGTAATCAAAAAAGCTTTCATCGAGCGTTTCCACATCGATTTTTTGAGCATTAAACACAGGTTCATCTTGATAAAACTCTTTCATTAAAATTTTAATACCTTTTATGTGTTCATTTTTCGCTGGCATAATTTCTATGTTGATTGGTTTCAAAAATATTTTTGAATCCTAAAACGTGTTTAAATAATTAACTATATACAGTATGTTTTATTTTTAAAACCGCATTAAACATACTTTAATATCATGATGTCTTGGCAGTAATGTTAAATGTCTATTTTGTGAAAAATGTCGTGTTGCGTGTCTGAAATATTTAAAAAACATTTTAAAAGTTCTATTTAAAAATAAAATAAATTATAAACAGATTAAAAATAAATCTGCTCAAGTAACTAGGAAATGTATTGTTACTATGTTACAATATTACAAAATTTAATAAACGAAGTTTGTTACGAAGTCTATTTGACTTTGTAGATAGATCTAGCTAATCTAAACTAGAATGAATTCGAAGAGGTCAGGCGGATGCCTTATTTTACCTAAAATAATACCCATTAAATATCTTTTACTTCTGATTTATAAGTCTTTACTAAGTCATCTAGTATAATTATTATTTATTCTAATATCTAATCGAAGCCAATGTAAGAAAATGTGTTAAGTATTGTAAATAAAACTTGAGGTTCTAGTAAGTATATCTAGCAGTTCAGACGAGGAAGAAATTTTACTTATTTTTTCGATGGCACACAGTGCTTGAATAATTAGATTTTTTAGTTTTCTTTACAATTTTCTTTGGTGGTGGTACAATTTTTTTTTAAATGACTACTAGATCAATTTCTATCAAATATTGCCTGCCCTTGTCTCTTACAACCCGTTCCGTTCTCCTAAGGTCAATGGAAAAGTGAAGCGTATACTTATACGATATTTTTTTCCACCCACAATAATTATCGTCCATAACTTTTTCTTTTCTCGTTTTATTTGATAATATTATTTTAGAATTTCTATAATAAAAAAAAACAAATTTTATATTGTTATTATTGGTAACTGTCAGCTAAGCAAAGATTTAAATAACGCATATTATGATATTTGATTTAAATATCACACTAAGATGTTTGAAATAATATCTATCTTAATAAAAAAATATGGGAGAAAAAAATGTACCCAATGAACTTTACATTAGTTTTTCTATTTATTTTAGCTTAAAAATGTCAATTAAAATACAAAATTTAGTTTAATGTTCTCGACGGCGTGAGAGAAGGGCTGAAAAACTATAATTTCTATCCACATACTTCGTCTATAACTTAAAAAGCGAACAACACAAAAAATATTTATTCCATTACAAACTAGTCTTTGGTTTCACTGGGTACATTACTGTTCTATACTTAATGGGTGAATTAAATAATAGGTTAAAATTTGACTTCTAAAAGTTATCTTTAACAATTATCCTATAAGTAATACCTATTGTAAAATTGTTTTGTTTTAATTTACTATAGTAATTATAATTCAACTTACGAATATAACTTCCTCCACTTGTCAAAACAAACCGAAATATTTTTGATGTATTTAAAACACTAACTGCATTAGTTTTACAATGAATCGGTTACATTTTTTAGCATGTCATATACACCAAAATGTTTTAACACAAAATAAACAAAATATTTAATTTTTACGCGGGTTTTTAAATATTTCTATAATCTCTGCGATAAGTTTGCTTTACTATTACCTACAGCAATCTCTTTTGTCGTTAATTTTTTTTTTCATTTAAAGACTACTAATACAGTGTTTATATTTTTTATTTGTTTATACTTAGCTGTGGAGAATTAGTTTAAAATTACAATAACAACCCTTCACCCCTCCCTCTCAATAGGTCTTGCTGCCAGATGGTTGACGGTCAGCCGCCAGAATAATAAAAAAAATCAAAAGTTGCCCTTGTGTAAAATGACACGTAAATCAAAATCAAACCGAAGTATTGAAACATATACAAAAAAAGAGCACATTTGAAAAAAAAATGGTTTTTATACTTTTTTAGATAATAGAAAATTAAATAATAATAAGAAATTTTCTAAAAGGAAAAACACAATTGGGTTTGGGGAGGCTAAATCACATATTCCCCCTATCCCACCCCTAAGTCCGCCTATGGTTTTCATATTGTTTTATTGTTATAAAACCGTCATCTCATAAATTATTTAGTAAAGTCGTTTCTTCGATCGATAGAAAATTGCCAGTTAGCCGGCCTTAAATCGTAGAAATTAATGAGTCTACTAGATATTTTACTTCAACGACAGATATTTGTTCTGCTTCTATTTTTTTAAAACTGAATAAAATAGTTCACTTTGTATGTGAAGAAATTGAGATATACTTCAAACATTTCGTGTTTTAGAATGACCAAGAATTGTTTTATTATCAGTGTGTACAAATGACAAAAACTTTTTAATGGTTCAACTCTATTATAAATATATACACGTTGAAATAATTGTTCGTACATCAAATGGTATTGTATCTGCAGCTGTTGGTATAGTATAATTGATTATGTGAGCTAAGCAACCAATTCCTACTAAATCATGACCAATAGAGTCTTTCAATCTAGAATATACATTATTTTTATCACGGCTTGATGATCCATTAAAATTTGTATTGGCATTATCGGCAGAGAGAGCAATTAACTTATGTTCAATAGACTAAATTTTTAAAACATTTAATATATAACTAATAAGTTGTTTTGGTTGTTTTGGTTCATAAATTCTAAAATAACAGTTTTCAGTCATTTATCTGGAAGAAAATATTTAACGAGTATAGGTAACACTTGAAGAATCTATCATTACTGTTATGAAGTTTACATCTTGCAATTCGTTTTTTTATTAGATATATTAGTTTGACATTTTTTTATTAAGTTATCGTATGAAAGAATTTTTCATGATGGACCTTCTGTTAAAATATTGTTTGGCCAAAAAAACTTGGTAGTTAATTTGACTAGTTATTCATCCACATATCATTGCCATTCAAACATCACAACTGGTTCGATGCAGACATGTGTATTTTGCGATTTTATTTATTTATTAGTTAACACACAGTGAGCAGTATGTTTGCTCGTTTTATAAACATAAAACATGTCTCAACATTTTTAAATTTGCAAACATTTGTTTGTTCGTTCCATCGTTACCAGAAAGACAACGTTACCTCCCGTCGTAGGGCCCTGCACAAAATATGAAAAACCGAAGGAAAGATATATTTGCACAGGAGCCGAAACTAATAGCCGTGGTGTCGTGCTGGGCGTGTATGAGCCGTATAAAGCCGCAAACAATTTTAACTTCACGCGTTCGTCCCAGGCATACAACACCGTCGTTTGCGGTTGAACCCAGTTGAAACGCAACAAAATCCCGGTTTTGGGCGAAGCTGCGATATACAACGACTTGGACGTTTCGGCTGCGCTCGTAGCTCTAGTGGGCCTCGGCAGCGAGCACGCAGGCTACGATTTAGTCAGGAAGTACTGTCGAAAAAAGGAGAACACCAGGATTGCCGCGGGAGTCGGAACCAAAGAATTGCAAGACCGGGGCATTTCGCAGATATTCATTGAGGAGATGGACGATTTTCAGTCGGCGTTTGAAGGCGCGATACTCGCCAGCTATAACAATGATGAGCAGAAGAAGGATTGCGATAAAGAGATACCCCACTTTTCAACCGCCGGCTCTGCAACGTGCTATCAGCGAAAAAACGCTCACGAGCGAAAATATGAACGTTCCATAGTAGTTCCAGTTCTATATGCACAGGAGACTTGGACAACCTGCAAAAAGACAAAGCCACTCTGGGTATGCTCTACGCAGAAACGCAAAATTTCGTTAGACGACTAATGACCGTGCCCACCAACGTGATGAATCCAGAATATTTCGTCCACGAAGCAATAAAAGTCCATAACAAGGTCAAGGTCATCTCGGTGACACTCCCGGAAAAAACGCACAGAACATGAACGGCATCTTGGCACTAAGTGCTGGGTCCTATGCCCCAGCTAAATTCTTAGACATCAGCTACAATGGTTTCGCCTGCTTCGAGACACAACCCGTCGTACTGGCCGGTCAAGGCGTAACGTATGCGAGTGACGATTGCCATGCGGCACGCAATTACCAGCTTCGAGGTCAGACCCACATTGGCGGAGGAGCAATTGTACCAAGTGTTATAATGTTTTTCAGCCGAGTCTGCAACCACGAAAGAGCATTTTCATGTCTCGTTGAGTAGTGGAATTATAGATATATATAGTATATTAAGAAGCAGTAGCAAGCTAGTATATTAAGTTTCTGGCTAATATTGTAGTGCTTAAAACAAGAGAATTCATAGAGAATTTGGGCCCTTAAACTATTTTGAATTTATCATTTAGTTCTAATATGAACGTCGAACGTACAGCATATCTATCACCCACCCCTTATCTACTACCCCTATCTTTCACCCCACCCCATTCCCACCCCAACCTCATCTCCGTGTGGTAATTTTTCAGTACGCTTTTTTGGTAACACTTTTTTCGGTTGTGTGCTAGAGCTAAGACATGAAAATGTCAAAAACTGGCGGAAATGGGAGCGCCAATCAACGTCAGAGGTCTGATACCGTTTTTCGAAATCGCCAACGGTATCTGCCCGGGAGATGTAATCATCAGTGCAGATAGGACTTCCGGAGAGCACAGTGGCCGAACGACGAAGCACAACTACGACCTGAACAGAATTCTGTACTTGCGTCAGAACACAATACCGGGCCGCCCCACTAGAACAGTTCTTGAAGGCCTTTTGGAGATGATACGGGAAACCCGTCAACAATAATTCCGGTATACCATAAGCTATGGTATTCCATGTCTATTTGCGTACTAGTAATATACAAAATGTAAAATACACAAAATATACACACTAGTCGACAAGGCGTTGTATACTTGTGAAACAATGAGTTTTTTTATAATTAAGTTCTACATTTTATTTATACGTTTTGCGAGCGAGAAAATGTCGTATCTAATCTTTATTTTTAGGCGGGCGATTGGTTTGCGCGGAAAGATATTACTTTTTTTGTTTGTTTGAGGGAACGAAAAAAAAAATTATCGGCTATCTCTTATGTTATATGGTACGCATGGTTCTACTTATCTAAAAAAACCTAAGTATTGAAATACTTAAGAATTTTTTGAAAGAAAAAACACAATTAGGTTTGGGGAGGCTAAATCACATTGGGAGGGGGGGCTGATGCCCCCTTATCCCACCCCTAAGTCTGCCTATGGTCTAATGACCGAGTAAATGTCCATTTAAGTATACCTACATTTCTAATTTTCTGATTTTTTACATTTTTTTTTGTTGCCTAAAAGTTTTTTTAGTAGTTTTTTAATATTTGGCCACAATTGATTTATTAGCAACATTCACTTGGTTAGTTATTTTGAATTAACTTAACCATTCATTCAAGTTAACTGGTCGGAATCAGGAACGCCGTAGCAGACATATAATACGACAAAGAAATCAAGCCCATCTCCATCCCCATCCCCAACTCCATCCCTTTACAACAGCTTGCGTACGAGTGACGTCAGAGTGTGATAGCCAGCGTTAGTTTTAGACAGATTAAAAAAAAGTACCTGACCCCAGCCATAAAACATTTACATGCTAATATTGGATATTTTTAAAGCAACATTTTTAATTAATAAAGAAATAGGATTTATTTATTATGAATATAATTTTGTAACAAGTGTAACAAGAGACCCAAATGTTTTGCTGTTAAATTAGAAAAACAGAAAATTTTACGGAACAATAGGAAATGAATACACAGAAAAAATAATAATAATAACAATAAAACAACTAGTAGAAATTGTATAGACCATAGTAAAATAATCAATATGAAAGTAATGATAATAACCAAAAAACCAATAATAAAAACAAAACACCCCAAAAAAATAATATATAACTGAAATTGGTTCAAAAATAAACATATAATAATCGCCAGTTGGTGGGCTTGACTGGAAACGTCTCCGTGGGTGCTTTTGTGTACTTCGGTCAATAGTTCGTTTAGTGCATCATAATCAAAGGAAGTCAAAACCCATACAAAGTTCATGGAGCGAGCCAAAAATCCTAGTTTTTCCTGACAAACATTGTCCGTTGGCTTGCACGTCTGCATCGCACTTGAGATTACGCTCAGTGGCATGGTCTTTAATAATAATTATAACAAGTTAAATCAAGCACAAAAAAAATATTATATACAACAAAATATTAAACTTTGAAGATTGCGAGTTGATTTTGGTTTGGACGAACTTCAGGTCGTCGTCACCATCGTTGGCTGCTAAGCAATGTTGTATTGTACCATATAGTAGCCAGAAATACAAACAATAAGTAATGAGTACAGTTTTTAGTTGTTATTATGACAACGTATGTAGTTTCTGAGAAGTTATTGTTTTTCATCATCATCATCATCATCATCATTAAGCTTAACGGGCCAACGCTTAAGTCTCAACGCTGCCATCATGGGATGATGGTTTCTAGACGGATTCGCTATTATTTTTAGAATTATTTTCTTGTTCAGAGCTATAAAAGTTTTGCTTTTAAATACCCTGGCTAAATTATTCGCGCAGTCAGTTTATTGATCAGCAAATTTAATCTTTATTTTATTATGAACCAATTGAATTTAGAAATTTACATCGTTTAAAGTGTAATTTTCCCCTTTTTGTTAGATTTTCCTTAATAAAATAAAAGTTTGACAAAAAATTTTTGGAAAATAGTATACATTAGAGTCTCATTCTAAATGTACCTTCAGTCTAATTTTCAAACCTCAAGTTAAAAAACTACGCCTGAGTTCAAACTAAGTACAGTCTAAACTTACACAGTATAGACTAGCACAGTCTAATCCAAGCACAATCCAAACTAGTACAGTCTAAATCGAGCACATAACTAGGTATCCACGTATAAGATGTTTGTTTTAGGAGTTTAGTTAGAAAGATTAATGATATTGAAAAAGTATTTTATGATCGGTACTCAGTGTATTATAATTATTAATTTGAAAAAATAAGTATGTATTTTGTAGATAAGCCAATCGCGAAAATAATCAGAAAAAATTAGCTCTGTGCAGTCTGTCAAGTTTATAACTTCGAGTGTCTCATTGCAGCATATTCATTACTTATTGGAAATAAAAGGATCAGAGACCATTGGTGAAAGGGACGAGGATACGATTGAATGGTAAAGCCAAATATATGTAGATATTCTGAAAACATAGAATGGATATACCTAATAACACAGTGAAACAAATGAACTAAAATGAAAGTAATGAAAGTTGTTCGTATATTTGTAAAGACATTATTTTTTTGTAACAAACTCAATAGGTACCAGCATGGAAATTTTATTTTTTAAACATTTAAGTTTAAGCACACCATTATCACCGGTGTTCAACGATTTGTCCAATTCAAATTCGACGTTAATTAACCTAATAATCCATTAATAATTTATGACTGGTAGGTAGATTAACAGTAGTCAAACAAAATATATATGTTTGTTCAATCAGTGTAGAATATAATATATATATATAATTTTTTTTTATGTATAATAAATTAATTATATTATGTGTGTACAAGCATAATGTGTATATTAAAAAAAACTGAAAAATACATCATCTAAGTATTTCAAGAATATCTTAAAAATTAAATTATATATCTAATTACATTGTGCGTTGTGTTATCCTTGATTAAATGTCTTGACTCATATTATGGTAACTGAAAATATAAAATAAATCACACAGTAATAAGTACATTTGTTATGTTGACGATAAGATTATTTAGATGATCAGAAAATGGTGTTGCTGTCGAGCTGTCTGTGGAATATCATATTTTTTTATTGAAATAATCATATTTTAATAAAACACTGAAAAATGACCAGTTGTTTAACGATTTAAACATTTGTCGTTGAACATGTAACATTATTTTGACAGATTTGAGAGTAGACTTTGATAAATTAGAAAATATCAGTTTATTTAATTATTCGATTAGTCCATTTCTTTAGTGACAATTATTCATTTTTCATCTGAAATTTATAATTTCAATTATTTAAGTATTATTTCAGCTATAATTTACCTATCTCAGTAAGTCAGATATTTTTTTGTTGTAAATTCATTACTTGTAAATATTGCTCATTTTTTTTCAAAATATTGGTCTTTATAGTTAAGTAAACTATATATTATTATGTTAACGGTTCATATTATTTTTATAAAATACAAATAAATGCTGTTTTGTTAAAAAAAAGTTAACGTTAAATTAATTAATTTTTAATCATAATTCCCCTTTTGTACTCGTGATAAATTTAATAATATTATTCGAACTTTATAGTCATTGAAATAAATCATTTCGTTTTATTTTAATCGTTATTTTTTTCACTTAATGGCTTGCCCAACCCTGTATTTTGACAACGGCATAAAGTTAGTCAGACTTAAATACACACCTAGTTTAACGCGTTTTGACATCAATGTATATTATGTTTGGCGTGGTGGACTTCTGGTTGAGGTTGTTTGGCTTCGAAGTATCTTTTAGCTCCTCTCACTCCTACTCGGCCGACGTCGATTTCGGGTAAAGAACACAACACGCGTCGAGCCCATTCCGCATTTTTTCGATGAGTTATCAAAAACTGTAAACAATCCAAGTATCACACAAAAGTCACAATATGGTCTTTAAACCGAATTCGTCCAGTAGAAATGGACGGTTATTTTTACATCCACGTTGTAGCCATTTTAATTTGTAATAAATACTCTTATAATACAGTGTACCGTTTTTTTAAACAGTTCCCAGGACCTATATTTCAAGAATTATGTCCATTATAATGTGTTTGTTGTCTACATAATTATCCGAAAAGTCTAAAACTCAACCTGTTATGGCAAAATGTATTATCGATGGAATATAGGTTGTTTTTTTTTAATGTATTTTATTATCATTACCTCTCGAAAACATAATTTTCCGTCACCGTCTTCGTCTGCATCTCTTATGAGCCGTACGATTGCCGAATGAGTCCAAGGTACACCTCTGACCATCATCATGCTCTTAAGTTCGTCTATGTCCAAGTATCCGTCGTTGTTAGTGTCATACCTCAAAGTAAAAAAAAAAAATTTTACTTTCAATTATTCATCATAATTGCCAAATTCTTATGTCGATGTAGTCGAAAATGATTGAGAAAAATGTATTCTAACTGAAAACGTACAGTTTCGCTTTGTACTAATTAGAAATTGACAATTTCTGGAATAATTTAAATCGAGGTAAAGAGTACCTTAATGATTCCAATAACTGACCTAATTTGCATGTTGCTTGTTCGTTTGCTCAGAGGCCTGACATGTTATCTAGGTAAAATATTATGCACTGCGCAGTATTTTTTTTAAAGACTTCAAACTATGTTTTAGGGTCG